CATTTCCCATTTTAAAATATTTGGTGCATGTTTATCATGTGAAGAATAAAGTTTGAGATTCTCCACATTACATTCATTCCATTTTTAATACAGGCCTTTCAAATATCTTTTTTCCTTCACCCTACATCCATATCCCAGACAGAAGGTTTTCCTATTATATTCAGTACAGTCCACAAAAATTTAGTACATATAGATGATGCATCTTTTTAAATCTCAATCTGTTAATTCCTACACAATTTTCAAACCAAAATGTATTATTTTTTCCATGTATTTAAATGCTCAAATATAGGGTACATCAATTAGAGTGCTGATTAAAAAAAATTAAGAGGTCTCTGATAATTACATAGTTTATTTGAACACTTCTTCCCCAATTTCAACTCACAATTCCATTGCGAATGTTCCTTTACATTTATTTCATTTTTTAGAGGACATGCAGTGAGGACATGGAAGAGGAAAACGCAACATTGCTGACAGAGTTTGTTCTCACAGGATTTTTATATCAACCACAGTGGAAAATACCCCTGTTCCTGGCATTCTTGGTCATATATCTCATCACCGTCATGGGGAATCTTGGTCTAATTGTCATCATCTGGAAAGACCCTCACCTTCATATCCCAATGTACTTATTCCTTGGGAGTTTGGCCTTTGTGGATACTTGGTTATCATCCACAGTGACTCCGAAGATGCTGATCAACTTCTTAGCTAAGAGTAAGATCATATCTCTCTCTGAATGCATGATACAATTTTTTTCCTTTGCAGTTGGTGTAACCACAGAATGTTTTCTCTTGGCATCAATGGCATATGATCGCTATGTAGCCATTTGCAAACCTTTACTTTATCCAGTCATTATGACCAATGGACTATGCATCCGGCTGTTAGTTTTGTCATTTCTAGGTGGCCTTCTTCATGCTTTAATCCATGAAATTTTTTTATTCAGATTAACCTTCTGTAATTCCAACATAATACAACACTTTTACTGTGACATTATCCCATTATTAAAGATTTCCTGTACTGATACTTCTATTAACTTTCTAATGGTTTTTACTTTTGCAGGTTCAATTCAAGTTTTTACCATTGGAACTATTCTTATATCTTATACACTTGTCCTCCTTATAATCTTAAAAAATAAGTCCGTCAAAGGGATGCAAAAAGCTGTCTCCACCTGTGGAGCTCATCTCCTATCTGTATCTTTATACTATGGGCCCCTCGCCGTCATGTATGTGGGCTCTGCTTCCCCACAGGCTGATGACCAAGATATGATGGAGTCTCTATTTTACACTGTCATAGTTCCTTTATTAAACCCCATGATCTACAGCCTGAGAAACAATCAAGTAATAGATTCATTCACAAAAATGTTCAAAAGAAATGTTTAGATCTCATACAACCTCTCTTCTGTATTTACTAAAGCTGTCACAAGATTGTGCAAGTTAGAGGGGTGTATGTCTTACCAGCACTCAAAGATTTTGCAAAATTCTAGTACTTTAATGACCTAAGGTTTAATATATAGTAAACTAATAAATATATTCCTAATATAGCATTTAAGAAATTTTAATCAT